GAGATGCGAGGTTAACATGAACACCTCTTTGAGCTTGCACAAGGATAAACAAGTCAAGTTTACGAATAATCAAATAACCACGGTACCTTGGCAGGAAGCAGTTGACGATCAACCAGTGGAGGAATCGAAGAGGATCTTGGAGTAAAGAAGCCTGGATGCGCCCCTTCGTGAGTTTTGCTAGTTCAACTTCAAACTCAAAATCGTACAGCCGCCCAAGATCGCTTCTGCTCTCAATGGGGTGTCCTCCGGCGGGAATATCAAGGATCTCAGCAAATTGATGAGGCTGAAAACAGACTCTATGTCCCAGGAAGATCGACACGAGATGAGAATCATAGGGACCAGAAAGCTGTAGATTGTGGTAGAACTTCCTCACCACATGGGGGCAATAACTGGTGCTTCCTCGACTCCGGAGATCAAAGAACTTTTCCCAGCCAAGATTTTTTATTAACGTCTTCACTTGTGGAGGGAAAGGACTTAGGTGGATGAACTCGTACTCGGCCACAATTGCGCTTTTGCTTGTAAATGAAAGATAGTCACCGAGACTTGCGGTGGATCAGCAGTCTTTGTTTGATGGAGATAGTATCCCCATTTCCGCCAACGATCTACTTTTGTTTGCCACGGAGTCTTGAGGAAGAAGGAACAAGGGGAAGGTGAAGATGGAGGAGAGAGAGAATGTAGGTGTAAGAAAAAGTGATCGTGGGGGTTGAGTCTGGAGACGTGAGTGTGATGGAGACGGTTGAGTCTGGAACGTCAAGAGTTAGAAGATTACGGAAGATATCGTAATGATGATGGTAACTCGTGTAGGTTAAACTAGGGTAAGTCATGCTAGTTAAACTAGGGTTGGCGCACGAATTGACAAGTAAGGAGAAATGAAATGTGCTCGCACGTTCCAGGCCCACTTTTGAATATTGCATGGATCATGTACAAGCCTACTTTTGAATGTTATTTAAAAGCCTGCAAAAATCAATGATCAGACCCAGTCCAACTAGAATTTGTCCTAAACACACCGTTAATACATAAACACAAATTAAGGAGACCTCTTTATCCGATTCGAATCAAATTGTGTCTTCTTCATCTCCTTTCTCAATCCTCTGGGCGAGACGAACACTACATATCAGGAAATCTTAATTTCACCGAGTGATAGAAGTTTCGAGAAAATGATAATAACAGTAAGACAAGATGACAAAGCACTAGCGACATGAACCCTAGGGTTAGCAAAATGAAAAGTTTGATGAACACAATAATAGACATCGTCGCCGTAATCGTGTTAGAAAGAGATAGGTGAGGGGAAATAAAATGGCAAAGAACAAACAAGACAAAATAAATTGGGAAATTCAAACTACGTCGAATGTGGATGCAAGTAATTGGGATTCAAAAAGATGATTAAGTTGGGGAGTTCAAATTGGATGGGGAGCTTCTCTTGGAACTGTGAAGGGGCATCCCTCCAAGACGAGAGAGGGATCGTGTAATTGGTTAGGGAGACTGGAAATTGGTTAGGGTGGCAGTGGGTCTACCCAATTGGGTTTGCAGTCTTAATCCATTTAATTTAATCGGGGCAGTTAGTTGGACTAGGATGAAAACAATCTTAACGCTAAGGAGGCTTTTTGTAATTTGTTTAGTTATTTAGTGGCATAGTTAGGTTCAACAAATGGAAGCCGTGGAGATTGAGAATGAATGGTTAAGATCGGCCAACGTACCCGTACCCCGGATTTTGCCCTGGGCACCGTAGAAGTCACCATATATATATGGGTGGTATATATATATATATATATATATATATATATATATATATATATATATATATATAATATGGAAAAGGCTAGCGTACGCTCGTACGCCCCATTGAGTTTTGTTATTTAGACAATGAATTAACCGAAGTTTGGGATATGACACTATATCCTAACCCCTAATGGGTGAATCACAATCCCTAATTCACTAACCCAAAGCATGAGATTCGTTTAATCTTAGACTGAAAATCAACGATTCTGATTCGTCGAAATTACCATTGATTTTCATTTTAAGATTAAACGAATCTCATGGTTTGGGTTAGAAAATTAGAGACTGGGGTTCACCCATTAGAGGTTAGGGTATAGTATCATGTCCCAAACTCTTCTTAAATCATAATCTAAATAGCAAAACTATATGGGACGTACGATAGTTAGCATACGCCCGGGCGTACGTTAGCCTGAACCTATATATATATAGAACCCAGCTCGTTGGCCAGATACATTTCATCAATGTATAAACAATAAATAGTAATTGTTTCAACCATTAACAACATAAATATATTCATCATCGATTCTACTATCACCAATCTCAAATGTCTCTTCCTTCTTCTTAACAACATCGTTATATGTATCAGTGACTCCACTGCCTCCACCATCAGTAGGGTCTGTCATTCTCCTCATTTCATTGCTAGCAAATTTAAAGGCAAAACTAATGTAAATAAGAAACATTATTATCATGCAAAATAAATTTACCTCATCCAAGTCAATTGCAATAATTGTTGGAGATGTGAACCTTCCATATTTGATTATCTTTCAAACTATGAATTTACTCATGAGATTTGTAATTTTCCCTTGTCATTTATGTGATTTTCAATATATTACCTCAATTTTTAAAAAAAGAAAAGGAGGATTATTTCTTCAACCACTATTTTGGAATAGTTTCTTAGCATCATGCAACTTAAAAAAAACTCTTACTCATGTGCACTTCAAAATTACAAAGTTTGGTTCAACTTTTTTCTTCACAACATGAAGTTAGATTGAGATTTCCTATTCAATCAATAGTATAATTACATATATCCAAAACCCTCCACCTTTGCAATATTACTTGTCCACTTTATAATTGTAACACATCTTTTCGTATTCACATGGCTAAATAACCCAATTATTTTGCTACCATATAACCCTTATATAATTAAATAAGTTATATAAGTTTCATATAAAAGATGGATTTTGAGGTAATGTGCATTTAAAATTTTTGCATAAGCCATTACAAAATATTATGAAATAGGAATGACAATTTTGACATAACCTGTTTATTATCTTGGAGTGCCACTTATCTCAGGTAAACTCTATTATGCTGACTGTTTTGTGCTTGTTGATAAATTAACAAAGAGGATAAGGACTTGGCAAGCAAAGAAGCTTAGTTATACGGGTAGAATGTCGTTAGTGTCATTTGTTATTACTAGTATTATGCAATACTGGATGGCCTTGTTCTTACTGCCTCAGAGAATACTAAAAGATATTGAAAGAATATGTAACCAATTCTTGTGGGGTGTTGGAGGATCGAGTCTAAGAAAGAGATCATTGGTTGCTTGGAATTTGGTGGCACTGCCAAAGAATGAAGGAGGTTTGGGGATAAGGGATTTTAAAAAATGGAACCAAGCTTGTGTAGTTCGCCATATCTGGAATCTGCTAGCTTAATCTGGCTCTCTATGGGTAGCATGGGTAAAGAAATATAGTTTAAAGCTTAAGTCTATATGGGATGTGGCAGTTCAGTCTGCAGGCACTTGGATCTGGCGGAAAATTCTTAAAAGTAGAACTGGAGTCAGACCACATATAACTGGCAGTGGTGCAACACTTGCTTGGGATGGCAAAATCCTGCCAAAATATTCTGTTATGCTTGTCTGGAAAACTATCAGGGCCCCTCAGCCTGTAGTTGAATCGCACAAAGTTGTTTGGGGGAGGCCATATAGCCCGAAACACAGTCTGTTGCTCTGGCTTGTTATTCTCAATCTGGTTGTCACCAAGGATAAGTTGCAGAGATGGGGGTTTGCTGCTGAAGGTTTGTGTGTTCTATGTCCAGACGGAGCGGAGTCAAGGGACCATTTATTCTCGGCATGTCCATATAGTAGGCATGTTTTATGTTATGTTATATTAAGCTTCTGCAGTATCCATGTTTTCAGCTCATGGCAGGAACATCTAACCTGGGCAATAAGGCAGTGGAACAATGGTACAAGGACGAAAGGTGAAGGACGATTGTGATGGTCTTTGTGTATCAGTTATGTGTGGAGAGAACGATGTTGTAGGACTCATGATGCTGTGATTTGCTCCCCCAGCACGCTGATTAGAAGAATTGAAGTGGAAGTTAAATGGTTACTTGCTGCCAAACCTAGCTGATGTAAATGATGCATAGATAGGGGTTTTTTGTCTTGTCCTTTGAATTGTTGCCACTTCTTTTATGGTTTGTACTTGGAGGGGGGTTTGCAGTTTGCAACCCTAGTGCTTAATGCAATTTATTGATTACCCATAAAAAAATTGACATAACCGATATTATCTAGTTTATTTGACCTAGTTTAAGTACTCTTCTCAGCATCATGTAAAAAATTTATGATTTGTGGGTGGGTGGGTATAGTACTAGGGGTGGGAAATGGTGCGGTTGCGGTTAACTGCACAGAATAAGCGCGGTTAACCGCCACCGCACAAGGGGAAAACCACCCACCATTACCGCATTGCAAACGGTTTGCGGTTAACCACTAACAGCAAATTGCGGTTTGCGGTTAGTTGCGGTTAACTGCACTTCAAACCGCACACCGCGATAAGAGTTAAACGGTGCAAAAAACCGCAAAATGGAACAAAACTGCATGAAAAAACCGAATTAACCTGTAAAGTCTAGCAACATCCACTTGAGAAATTAACACTAAAACAAGTAAATTGCACCTGGAAAAGGAAAAGTCTGAAACATATATAAGTTCTAGACATCCCAAAGAAACCATCCACATCAAGTTCTAACAATCCCACATAAGTCATAAACCATCCAACTCCCACATAAGTCATAAACCATCCAAATTTAGTTTCAACACATAAACTCATAAACTTAAAGTTCAAGCCATACTACGATAGTCTACTTCCCAACTCCCATGTCTTCAATTCCTCAATCATTCATTCACTCGTAGTCTCCTCACTATCCTCGTCCTCAGAAGCACTCCCATCCTCGGTTTGCCTTTCTCCATCACTAGAATATTCTCCATCACTAGGCGCAATCGAAGAAGAAGCTCACACTCCGGTAGCAGTAGCACTTCCATCTCCGACAGCAGCTATTCCAGTCCTTGTATCAGCATTCCCAGCTCCCGCAACAGCTGTTCTAGCTCTGGTAGCAGCATTTCCAGCTTCGGCAGCAGCATTTCCAGCTCCGGCAGCAGCATTTCCAGCTCCGGCAGCAGCACTTCCAGCTCTGGCAGCAGCACTTCCAGCTCCAGTTGTAGCAGAAGTTGTATTGGCATCTAATACAACATTTCGAAAAGCTAAAACACACACAAAAATGGAATAAAAGGTTAGAAAATATAGTATTCAATATTAATAATGCACCACACAACCAAAACAAAACATACCACTGTCAAGATCTTCCAACTCATCCAAATTCTCATCCTCAAGAGGTAGTGTCGAATTTGCTAACCAATCCTCACTACAGATGAGAGCTTCAACAATTTGAGGAGTCAAAGAACTCCTAAAAGAATCTAACACCCGACCGCCGGTGCTGAAAGCACTCTCAGAAGCAACTGTGGATATGGGAACAGCAAACAAGTCTTTGGCCATCTCGGCCAAAATGGGATAACGGTAGGCGTTGTTCTTCCACCACTTCAGACATCATACTTCAAATTTTTGGCATCTCCCTCGCGAAGCTCAATAAGATATTTGTCCAACTCGGATGCTTGATCTCCATCATCACAATCTTCATAATCATCATCAAAAGTACGAGTGTCCACATGTACAACCGGCACCACATCCATCTCATCAGAACTAACCATGTCTATATCATCACATCTTGAGGAATCACCTAGAGATTGTGTCTCTCGACCTCGAGTTCGAGCAGGTGCTTTCATATTTTTATAGTGACTAAACAAGTCATTGAGCTCTCCAAGAATCTCTTTACCCAACTCTTCCACTCTTTTCTCCCCATACAACTTCTTCAATGCATACATAGGATATTTCATCTTGTGTCTAGGATCAAACACCACACCCACATAAAACAACCTATTTATCCTTGAATTCTCATCTTCAATCTCATACCAATATTTCTCTACTTTTGCATGCATTCTAAAAGCCATATTTGTCACTTGTTCATCGTCACTTCCCTCCATCTCCTTTAGTTGTTGAAAAATATTGCATAGCTCCCTCAAAAAGATATGGGAGGTCACATACTTAGTACCAGATACAAGTAATGTAAGGTCATGGAAATACCTCAAGTGAGAGCACAAATTCCTAGCACTCTCCCAATCTGCTGCACTTGGAGGACTAATTGTTTCGCCTTTGTAAAGCTTTGCCTTGAGAAGATCCGCCTTAAACTCCCCATCTTCTGTCTCTAGAAGTTTAAATGCCTTCTCGTAAACCTCTGCTACCTCCAACATTAAGAAGGTGGAGTTCCCCCTAGTAGGAACGTCCAAGCACAACATCTTCTTCCGCTCAATGCCTTGGAATCTCACACACTTCTTGAATTTTTCCAGTCTACTAGAAGAAGCTCGAACCCATTTCACAGCCTCCCTGATCCGCACAACAGCCACTCCAATTTCTTCCAATCCATCAGTAACAATCAGATTAACAATATGGGCAACACACTGCATATGCAAATATGTCCCACCCTTAATACTGCTACCCCAACTCGACAACTTGCCTTTCAAACAACCAATTGCAGTATCATTTGCAGATGCATTATCTACTGTGATGGTAAAAATGTCCTTCAAACCCCACTCTTCCAATATACCAGCAATTGTCTCAGCTATATCAAGAACTTTGTGGCTGGTAATGCGACGAAAACCGATGATCTTCTTGTATAGCTTCCAATCGTTATCAACAAAATGTGCAGTCAAGCAGAGATAACTGAAATTCTGAATGGAAGTCCAACAATCTGTTGTAAGGGAGACTCTACCATCACACTTGTTTTTGAAATAATCAGCCAACTGCTTCCTCCCTTCAGCAAACAACCTGAAACAATCTTCTCGAATACTCTTCCTACATGGGATCTTAAAGTGTGGACATGTAGCAAGGCAAAACTTTTTAAACCCTCCTCGTTCAATAAACCGAAATGGTAGCTCATCCATCACTATCATCTGAGCTAATGCAAGCCTAACCGAACCTTGATCAAATTTCCAGTTGCTCAACATTCTCAACCTTTCATCATTTACACTCGGCTGTAAACTTAACTGCATTTGACCACCTTGGGCTTCCCTTTTCTTTCTACATGATTTTGTGTGAGCATGAAGAGCAGAAGTACCATTAGCTCTTGAATAAGCAGCCAACTTAGTACTGCAAAATAAACACCTAGCCTTCCTCAATTCCTTCTTCGCATCCTTCTTCTCCTCCTTGAGTTGCTTCTCATATTTGGGATTGGGAACGAAATACAGCTCGTATTCTGCATATGCTGGCGACCTTGATTTGTAGTCCATCTTCTTCTTTTTCTTGGTCTTAGTTTTCTTGTTAGACTTGTCTTCCTGTTCCTGTTCCTGAGCATGAAGAGCAGAAGTACCAATAGCAGAACTAAATCAAAGAAAACAGGGGACTTACATGGTGGTCGCGCGTCCTTTGCTTTTCTGCTTCTCGACGGTTGATGGAAGGGGACACCACCCGTGAACGCCGTGATGCCTTCCCCCGATCTCCTCTGTCGGTCGTGCTTTGCTCTGCTTCTCGAGCTCGACGGTCTGACGCCTGCTCGGCTGCTCGTGGACGCCGCCGACAGATCTAGACTGGCTGCTCGTTGCGCTGGTGCTCGCTGGCCGCTGCCCTGCTGGCCGCTGCGTCGATGGCCGGTGCTCGTTGCGCTGCTGCTCGCTGCGTCGATGGCAGCTGTTCTTCCTCTTCGCGAAGACGCCAACGAAGGAATGCCTGGAATGGAACTGAACTGTAGAGGGCAGAGGCGGTCGATTTTGGAAATTGGAATGGAACCCTAGCTAGGCTGCCCGATTGTGCTCTTCCTCTTTGGGATTGGCCGTTTGGGGCTTTGGGCTGTAGAGTGGAAAGAGTTTGCATTTTGAGCTGTTAGGATGGGTTGGGCACTTGGGCTTGGGCTGGGTGTTCCTTTTATGCGCTTAGTTATTCGGTGGGGTTATTTGTTTGGTGTGGTGTGCGATTAGTCCGCAAACCGCAAAAGGGCCAATTCCACTAACTGTTACCAAATAAAAGCCCTTTTAAATGGTTTGCGGTTAACCACAAACCGCTCTTATTCGGTGCGGTTGCGGTTTAACCGCAAAACCGCAACCGTTTTCCCACCCCTATTCTTCTCAACCCATTTTTATCTAAATTATAAATAATTTTACTTACATATATTACTTATGAATTTATTTTTATTGCCTTATAATTTAACAATAATAAAGTTGTAAATAGTTTCTCAGCATCATGCCTCCACCATCAAAAGGGTCTTGGTCATTCTCCTCATTTCACTACTATCAAACTTGAAGGCAAAACTTATGCAAATATGAAAGATCATTATCATGCAAAATAAATTTACCTCATCCAAAACCTCCACCATTGCAAAAATAGTTGCCCCACTTATAATAGTAACACATCTTTTTGTACTCCCATGAATAATACCCCATTATTTTGCTACCATATAACCCTTATAATTAAAGAAGTTACTTAAGTTTCATGTAAGAGATGTTGTTTTAGGTAACATGTATTAAAAATTCTTACATAAGCCATTACAAAAATGTCATGAAATAGGGATGACAATTTTGACTTAACTCATATTATCCCATCTATTTGACATGTGTTAAAGTGGACAATACATACCCCTTATGGGGCGGGTGTGTATGAGTACTCTTCTCGACCTCATCATTCCTGACATACTCCATGCTCGAACCATTTTTGTCTAAATTTTATATAATTTTACTCAGATTGCTTAAAATTATGATTTTATTGCCTTATAATTTAGCAATAAGTTGTAAATAATTTCTCAGCATCATTTCTCCACCATCAAAAAGGTCTTTGTCATCATTCTCATTTAATTGTTAACAAATTTGAAGGAAAAACTTATACAAATACGAAACATCATTATCATGCAAAATAAAGTTACATCATCCAGACCGTTTGCAATAATTTTTGGAGATGTGTTCTTTCTCATCTTTGATTATCTGTCAAACTATGAATTCACTTATGAGATTTGTAATTTCCACTGTAATTTATGTGATTTTCACTAACCTCAATTTTTAGAAAAAGAGAAGGAGGATGTCCTCTTCTACCACTAATTTGGAATAGGTTCTTAGCATCATGCAACTACAAAAAAAATCTAAACCTTAGCAATTCAAAATTACAAATTCCGGTTACACTTTTTTCTTTACAACATGAAGTTAGATTGATATTTGATAACTCCCTGATTGGAAGGTTTGTTTCAGAATCGTGCAGTCCAACCCTCAACCCAAACGTTGAATCGAGGTCTGGCCACAAGAACACAAAAACCGAGTTTTGGTATCGGTTTTCGGATGGCACTTCCGTGCAGCCTTCATGAAGGGAAGGAAGCTCGACAAGTATCAGTCGAGGCTTGGCCACAACTAGGGTGAATACCTAGTTGATACAAGTTCGAGATCCAACCCAGAATCGACTAGATTGATCTCTTAATTCACAAGTAAAACCCTTATGAACCCAAACTTGACGTTTGTTAATCAATTGAAGAAAACCTAACTATTACATTGCAAACTTGAGTTTAAATGAGCTAACGAAACTTACAAAGCAAGTAATCAACATCCTAAACTAGTTATAATTCAAAAGGAAAATGAATCCACTCCAAAAAGGGTAAACGAATCAAGCTGGTCACTAATCCTATTCGGATTTCTTGTTCATCTAGACAATATCTCCAATGTCGACACAAACTTTCAGCCCCTTTGCTCGAGCCTTTCTAAGCATCAGTCCGATCACCCAATTCCACGTGGTTGTATTAGAGAATGCGTACTTTCGTGAGGTATGAACGTTGAAGCTCGACTCTCATTCCAACCCTTTGAGCGAAGCTTCCAAAACTCCTTCCCGAACTCGCTCCAACACTTAGAATTTTTCCAGCAGCTTCTTCCGTATTGAGGTCACTACTTGATGGATCTGAAACCCACCCTTCTTGGCTTCCTCTTGAGCTCCAAAGCACATCAATGGAAAGTTAAACTCTCCATCTTCAAACCAAGATCTTAGTCTTGAATTTTCATTAAGCCAAGAAAAAGTTTCAGACGTGCAAACCTGGCATCTTGAAACGGCCAAATGACTTAGACAATTCTTAGGGTTCTTTTCCATGGTTGAGTTTCCTTCTTGGACAAGCAATTGGAACCTCCTAATTGATCCTATTGGGATCATATCAAGCCCCCTCCCCCTCTCTTGTAAAATTTTTGCCCTCAAAACTTTGGCCTTCCTTTCCTCAAATGTAGCGCAAAATCGATCCCAAATTGGGTCGACAAAGGGAGTCCCAAACTGGCACTTCTGGAAAATCGAAGTAATGTTCTTCATGCCTAGAACTGGGGCTTTTTGATTCATGCATGCCAAGTCTAATTCAGTGTGCCCATGATCTCTGTCATGGTCCCAATTAAGTTTCTAACCCAGCCACCCATCTAGATTCATCACTGTTCTTATCGAATCGATGATTCGAGGTTTCCCGCCATCGACGAATTTCAAATTTCCAGAACCCAGGATGGCCAAATTTGATTTGGGCGTTTTTAATTAAGTCATCTTCGGGCCAATCAGCTTGTTCCTATAGCTTCTTGGGATCATTCTCAATAGTTCTGCGTTAGCCATTTGTGTTGAATCACTCCTAGTTGTGGCAACCAATAGTCCCGATTTTCGGTCGGGTTTCTCCATTTTCAGGCATCTTCTGCTCGATTTGGATCCAGCATTGGAGGTATAATCACTTCAGTCGAGGGTGCGGACGAGCTTCCTGAGGTGTTTTGCACGTGTCTGTAGCCGCAGATGGGTTTGAACCTTCCCCATTCGTTCCGACCAACTCACCCTCTCTCATGCCCTGCTCTGGCGACGGTTTACAGGGTCGTCGACATCAAACCTTCCTCACATTCTTATACCCAGTAAGCATCAGCTTCCGGACTACCACATTGCTTCCACGAGGATCCTTGGAACTTCCCCTACTGGATACGCCCTTCGAACGTCGCCGACTTGCCTCCAATTGTCTCCGGTCTTCCATCGCTTCCTCCGGCTACAATGGCTTGAGCATATATTGCTTCCCTTGATGCCGGACCTTATACTGGTTCGTGCCACCGTAATAGCAGACTCCCCGATTGAACTTCCAGGGTCTTCTTAACAGTATGTGAGATGCCTGCAACGGAGCCACGTCAAATTCAAGTTCGTCTTTATATCCTCCGATCTCGAAGTGAACTTTGGCCTACTTTGTCACCCGAATTGCGCCATAGTCGTTTAACCAGTGCAAATTTTAGTGTTCAGGGTGCTTTGCTGTGCTCAATCCGAGTTTATCCACCGCGTTTTGACTAATGACGTTTGCGCAACTCCCTCCATAAACTATCAGCGAAAGGAGTTTGCCTTTCACAATACAGCGAGAGTGAAACAGAGTCTCCCGTTGGTTGGTGTCTTGGTCCTGCTTGAGAGTAAGGGCCCTCCTACTGACTCCTAGAAGCTTACCAGGTGGGTCAGCTTCCATCTCAATCTCCTCCTCGACTCTCTCCTCGTCACTGGAGTTGGATTGCTCTTTGTCGGTGAGGTAAACACCATCTCAAATTACCAAATTCTTCACATTGGGACACTGGTTAGCCTTATGGCCCCTGCTGTGACATTTGAAGCACTCGATCCCTCCAGCACGCTCAATTGGAGCTGGATTCGTGCTCTTGGGAACAGGTTTGGTGGGTTCAGGCCGAGCTTGAGTCGAAGTGGATTCACCAACCGCCTCGACCACCTGTTTGTTTGCCGGAGCAAACTTCGTGCTAGTCACCACCTTTTGATGTTTCTCGATCTTAATGGCAAGATGCAAGGCTTCCTCTAGGTCTACAAAGGACCTCAGGTCGACTTCCTGTCTGATTTTCGATTGAATCCATGGAGAAATCGAGCGATTGTCGCCTCCCTGTCTTCTCGCACATCAACCCTCATTATGAGAAGCTCCTATTCACGAAAGTACTCCTCCACGCTCCGTCCTCCTTGTCGAATTGCTTGCAACGATTTGTGGAGCTCCCTCTGGTAATAGGCCAGCACGAAGCGATGGTGCATCAACCCGCGTAACTTCTCCCATCAGTTACTTCGGGTTGCAGGTTTTGTCGTCGCCGGTGACAAATCTGTTCCTACCATTGAGCAGCGTAATCAGTGAATTCGAACGTGGCCAGGGCTACCTTTTGTTGGTCTGTGTAATGCCCACACTAGAAGAAGAGAATTATCTTCCTTTCCTAGTCCAGGTAAGTCACGACATTAATCGTGCCCTGAAACGCCAGTATGGCCAATTTGATTCCTGGTGGAATCAAAGGCGGCTCTGCTTCTCGATTATCTCGCCGTTCTCAACGTGGCCGGTCGGGATGGGGTTCTGCTATGACTAGACGTCGTTCAAACTCCGCAATTCGATTCATTAACGCGGATTTCTGTCAGGTTGTTAATCGGCGGGAGCTTCCCTATCATGGACTCTGTTTTCCGGCTGAGCGATGATGTCGATCTTTTGATCGATTTCCTTCCGGAATTGAGTGAATCTCTCGTCAAACTGTCGCATAAGCTCCTGTATGTCAATCTGTTGTCCCTCCATTGCTCGATTGTCGACTTGAGCCTCCAAATTCAACTCGTCCCTGCTCTGTTTGCTTGTGTACAGCCTCAAGGTCGTTGGAAACGGAACCCCTCGCCAACCCCAACGTGTTGCCCCAGCAACGTGCTTCTCCTTCCTGCCCACTGTGTAGAACCAGCCTCTGATACCACTTGATAACTCACTAATTGGAAGGTTTGTTTCAGAATTGTGCAGCCCAACCCTCAACCCAAACGTTGA